TTTTCAGTCAAGGGTTCGTGCACGATCCCAATTTCTCGGCGCTGTGTTTTGACCCTGAGTTTAGTAGTGTTTCAATAGTATTCAAGTCATGCCCACGTGAGTAGGAGTGAAAGAACCCACCGTTAAAGATGTCAGTTTTCCCATCGGCTCAGCAGCTAGGCGTCCGGAACGAGGTCCTGGCTGTGGACGACGACCTTCTTTCAAGTCAGTCAAAATATCATTCACGTCTTGAACGGTGAGATCTTCATAGAAATCATCGTTAATCTGCAAAATGTAAGTGTATCAAAATGATCAGCAAAAAATATTAACACCGAACCAAACAAATGATTTTGCAGCAGTAACCGCTAACTCGCCTGCATCATAGGAGCGTTTACGCAAGCTCCCAAGCACTCCACTTCCGCCAACGTGAACAAGCCATCCTTCGTGGTCTCCCCAACATGGATACCTGTAACGTGAAAAAGGTTATATTCACTGCAATTTGCATGCATCGAATAAAATGCGCTCGCGAAACCAGATTTTCAATGAGATGCTACAATATTTATACTATTATATTACCGAGAGCTTTCTCAATCGTTTCCGTTATCGTCTCCGCACCCCGCAACATGCATGGTGTAGTCGCACAGACCTGTAAATCAACATTTCTCAAGGAGTTCAACGCGCATATTAAATGCTTACGATACTATAAATTGCTATTTTTTTCGAGAATTCAATAGACACTAAGGGGTTGAAAAATACGAAACAAATTACTTCAACTGGGAAGCCAGACTGCACATTGGGTGTTGCACGAGATACTCACCTGCAGCTGCAGTATCAACGGCATGGTGATATGCAAGTGGTACCTCAAAACCCCTTCCCACGTGGTAGGCAAGACAACGGCGATTTATTCGAAGCGGAACAGTTACCTTCATCCTGCAATTTGTTTGAGGACCCATGCCCGGTCAGGTATTGCTCGACAGAGCCTTGGAATCAGCTAGCTAAAAGAAAGTGCTGTTCCCAGATATATTGGTCGATTCTCGTCGTTTTTTTTTCATCGAAGCTCACTTGGCATCACCTTTAAACGGCAGCAACTTGTCGCGTTTACTTTTTTAAGATATTCCCCTTTCCGTT